AAAAAACGCTATAAAAATAAATATACAATCTTCTTTTAAAGGTTTTTGAATTTTAATAAAGTTTAAATTCCTGAATGCGATTTAATTACTTCACATATATGTAAAATTCATTTAAATATATTTTTGTGCAATAGTGCCTAAATTTATATAATTTTCAAAAGAATTTAAATTAAAAATATATATGTAAAAATTAATTTTTAATTTAAATGTAACTAAATTTTCATCAGATATAATTAAATTAAAAGTCTAATTAAAATGTGCCAGTTATTTGATAATTAAATTATTTAAAATTAAGTGCCATTAAAATGTTCCCAATTAAATTTAATTTTATTAAATACTTGTCAGTAGTAAATTATTATTTTGTCTAAAAAAAAATATTTTCAAAAAAAAAAAAAATGTTATAAAAGATAACTAGTTTTTTATATATGAAATATTGTTTTCTTTTATAGAAAAAAATTTTTTTTTTATACGTATATATAATATATTGTTAATATTGTCGAAATTCTTATCGACAAAAACGTATTTTACTTATATCGCGCAACTGAAAATGAAAGTAGGAAATCCTAAAGATGATTATAAAAATGTAAAAAACTGGTCCTCATCTTTATTTATTTGAAAGTTTCTTTAATTTATAGTTCCTTTTTCTTTTGCGATCTTCCGGAGAGCTTCTCTGATAACAAATGACAACCATATTGTATACCAAAAAGTCTTTTTTTTTTTTTTTTATTTATTTATGACATGCGGTCACATTCTAATTGCAAATTTTGTAAACTATCCAAAAAAAATATATTTTTCCAATTCGTTTATAAATTTTGAAAACGCTATACGATTCTTTATTTAGAAAAAAAAGTTGATACATAAACTCACGAAATTTAAAAATTTTTTGTCTCTCAAGAATAATAAATGATATATATATTTAAAGCACCTTAAATTTGCTTATGAAAACAGTAGATAGTGCGTTTGTGATATTTTTGCAAACATTTTCTACAAACGCATCGCATCATCTTGAAAAATATATAGAAATTTATTGAAAATTCTTAATATAGAAAGCTATTATCATCATTTACAAAAATATAAAATTCTTTACTCCTCAGTCAAAAATTAATTGAATTTTTTTTTTAAATAAAAAAAAATTATAAATTATAAAAAATTGCTTTGGTAAAATTTTTCTTTACTCAATTAAGTGATTCGAATTTTTAAATGTCAAGAATTTTTTAATACCCAGAATTCCCAATTCATCGAATCTTCATATATTTGTTTGAATTTTTATTTACACGAATTGTTATTTGACAGAATTTTAAAAATCCTAAATTACCATTTGTCCGAAGCTATGTAAATGTCCGAAAAGACATAACCTACAAAAACATTTTGGCGCGAATTTTGAAATTAATCCAATTAAAATATGCTTGATAATTTCTGATTGGTTTATTTTCAAATTCGCGCCGAAATTTTTTTTTTTGTAGGTTATGTTTGTTTTGCACATTTACAGCTTCGGACAAATGGAATTACAAATTCTGTCAAATAACAATTCGTGTAAATGAAGATTTATAGTGATTTGGAAATTCTGACCTTTAATAATTCTAATCACTTAAAATTAATAATTAATTAATAATAATTTTGTTAAATAATTATTCGATTAAATTAAAATTAAAAAAAAAAAATTTGGGCAAAGATAAATTCTGTAAAATAAAAATTTGGTATCTAAAAAATTTGTTAAGTAAAAATTTTCCGTAAAAAAAAAAATCTGTCAAATGCCAATTTGAAAAATGAAAATTGGTCTAAAAAAATAATTATATTTAATAAAATTAAGGGGACATACGAGGTTAAAAATAAAAAATGAGGGTTATTTTTGAAAAAAATAGAGTTAGAAATAGTAAATTATTATTTGTTTAAAAAAATTTTGTTGAATTTTTAAATTATCATGACCAACTTAAAGAATATTTAAATACGAATCAATTAACTTATTTGTGAATCTATTACTGTAAAATATTACCAAGTTATTGATGTTTCAAAATTAAAAAATAAATTTAAAAATCGTGACTTTAGGTGTTGTTTATTTATTAAATTTCCATGTAAGTTTTAATATATTGCTTCTATTTTATAGACTCCATATCTTCATGTAAAAACAATGTGTTCATAAAATAAACACAAAAAATTCATGCTTCAATTTTGGCACAGGTTTTTATTTATTTTTTTTTTTTTATGGGAAATTCCTTCGCTTCATATTATTGTATATGGAGCATTCTATGGGAAATTTTCATTGGAAATTTTTTTTTTGTCCGAAACATTTTTTTTTCGAAATCTATATGAAAAATAAGGAAATACGTATATTTTTATTTTTTTTATTTGATGAAAATGAAGGAAGTTATGATTTTTTGAAATTTAACGTCAACGAAGAAAGTGTGTTTGAGGAACATTTTTTAATCTATTGTACTAAGAAATTAAAAATTATGCTATGTATGAAATTTGTTCATTTTTTCTCAAATTTTTCAAATATGTGCTCAAAAATAACGTACCTATAACAGAAGCAACAAAAAAGTTGAAATTAAACTTATAAAGTGAGTTTTCTCAAAAGAGACACTTTCGATTTTTAATTTTTTTTTTTTTGCATTACAATCTCTGATGATAGAAGAATTTTTTCCCCTATCTGCGAAAGTGGTATTTTTAGTTTTTAAATTACTATTTATAATTTTTTTTATTACGGCTCACAGAATTTAAGCATTTTTTCTACAAATATAACCTTTTTCCATTAACATTCATTTGTTTTTTTTTAATTTTCATAAAAACATACTAAAAATCGTTGCGTCAAGCTTAAAAATTGTAAATAGTAATTTAAAAACTAAAAGTACCACTTTCGCAGATAGGGGAAAAAATTCTGCAGTCATCAGAGATTGTAATGCAAAAAAAAAAAAAAATTAAAAATCGAAAGTGTCTCTTTTGAGAAAACTCACTTTATAAGTTTAATTTCAACTTTTTTGTTGCTTCTGTTATAGGTACGTTATTTTTGAGCACATATTTGAAAAATTTGAGAAAAAATGAACAAATTTCATATATACCCAATGGGAAACTGCCACGAGTAACCATTGGCGTATTAATGGCCCAATGATGGGAGCCAATGAAAAAACCATTGGCACCCAATAATGGACCATTATTGGTAAAGTCATGGGCTGTCCACGCCGATGCCAATGATTGGCAACCATCATTGGCAAATTATTGGCAACCAATAATTAGCCAATATTAAAAATTTTAATAATAATTTAAAAAATCAATAATTTAAAAAAAAATTTATATTTTTATTATTTTTTAATAGTTATTATTATTATTATTTTATTTTTAATAATTAAATTAAAATAAAAAAATGGTCATCAAAGTATTAGTGAAACTATTTCTTCCAAAAAAGAGTTTGTCTCAAATCCAATTAATAGGAGAGACATCGGGCAGAAAAAAATTTCGACGAGAAAAAAATTTTAGATCACTGCTTATATACCAATCAAGTGGCATCTCAACTGCGAGAAACAGTGATGTTCGCCCTCCCTTTGCGGCGTTGAGTGAACTAAAGTCCAGAGCTGAGCCATCAGCGCAGCGCGGGAACATTTGAAAAATTTGATTTTATTAGATATTTTATTTTATAATAATTAACGAATTATTAAGTATGACATTATGTTATTAATAATTATTAATGACATTAATTATTTATTAAGTTAATTATTTGTCATATTTAAAATAAAATAAAATATCTTATAAAATCAAATTTTTCAAATGTTCCCGCGCTGCGCTGATGGCTCAGCTCTGGACTTTAGTTCACTCAACGCCGCAAAGGGAGGGCGAACATCACTGTTTCTCGCAGTTGAGATGCCACTTGATTGGTATATAAGCAGTGATCTAAAATTTTTTTCTCGTCGAAATTTTTTTCTGCCCGATGTCTCTCCTATTAATTGGATTTGAGACAAACTCTTTTTTGGAAGAAATAGTTTCACTAATACTTTGATGACCATTTTTTTATTTTAATTTAATTATTAAAAATAAAATAATAATAATAATAACTATTAAAAAATAATAAAAATATAAATTTTTTTTTAAATTATTGATTTTTTAAATTATTATTAAAATTTTTAATATTGGCTAATTATTGGTTGCCAATAATTTGCCAATGATGGTTGCCAATCATTGGCATCGGCGTGGACAGCCCATGACTTTACCAATAATGGTCCATTATTGGGTGCCATTATTGGAATTATATTGGCATCCCTGGCTCCCATTATTGGGCCATTAATACGCCAATGGTATTTTTCCCATTGGGTAGCATAATTTTTAATTTATTAGTACAATAGATTAAAAAATGTTCCTCAAACACGCTTTCTTCGTTGACGTTAAATTTCAAAAAATCATAACTTCCTTCATTTTCATCAAATAAAAAAATAAAAAAATACGTATTTCCTTATTTTTCATATAGATTTCGAAAAAAAATGTTCCGGACAAAAAAAAATTTTCAATGATAATTTCCCATAGAATGCCCCATATGTGAGGCAAAATTTCTAAAGTGTACCAATTCAAAAAAAAAAAAAATAATATCTTATTTCGAGCTGCAATTTGCATAACGAGTACTTCATCCATAAATTATTATTAATTTTTATCAAAAACTGTAGGGGGGAAAGAGGATTAAAATTACGGTCAATAGTGAATTTTTGAAAAATTATAACTTATTGAATAAAAGGATGAAAAAAATTTTGACCCACATATTTTTGAATGGTTTTTTTCTGCTCTTTCGAATGAAGCAATTTTTTTTTTTTTTTAAATTCAAAATTTATCCCTTTTTTTGAAAAACAAAAATATTTTTGACTTTTTTTGAAAAAAGGAACTATTTTTTTTCTTTTTTTTCAAAAAAAGTCGAAAATATTTTTTTTGTATTTTCAAAAAAAGGGGTAAATTTTGAATTTAAAAGAAAAAAAATTACTTCAGGAATTTCGCCCTATATGTATTTAAATATATGAAATTCTTACCTCTCAACGGTAAAGGCCGTAATGGTGAGAACAGTTGCACTAGCCGCTGTTTCAGCGGCAAGACCACTGAGAACGCAAAAAATTTCCCCAAATGCATATGGATAATTATACCACATTGTGTACATTTCCGGTGGTAGACCGGAAATTAATAATAACAAATCAGAAACAGCCAAACTGAAGAGATAATAATTTGTAGCAGTGTGCATTGATTTATTTTTTGAAATCACAACGCACGTTGAAACATTTCCAATTAAACCAGTGAAAAATATAATGACATAAATTATTGTTATTGGTAATACAATATACATTGGATCACGATTCTCGTCAACAATAGTTTTAACATATTGTTTCACTGTACTCACATTCTCCAACTCGGAAATTGGTGAATTATATAGCAACGAATCATTCATCATGATTTTTTTCTTTATTTTTTGTCTTTAAAATTTTTTTTTTTTTTTTTTTTGATTCCCACCAATCACTTGATTTTAAAATATTTGAAAAAATTATGTTTATAGTAACATGTTATTTTTCAAAATTTTCATTTTTTATCATTTTGAACATGTTCGGTATTTAATATTCGTTTCAGGAATATTCGATATTAATGTTATTTTTGGAAATGTTCAATTTTGGACATGTTCAATTTTACTGTTTCTTTAGGGCATGTTTGCTATTAATGTTCATTTTGGACATGTTCAGTTTTTATGTTCTTTTTGGGGTATGTTGAAAATTAATGTTCATTTTTAGACATGTTCAAAATTATTGTCCCTTTTGTATATTTCGAAAATTAATTTTCATTTTGGACATGTTCAGTTTTACGGTTGCTTTTTGGGCATGTTCAGAATTAATGTTCCTTTTTGGATATTTCCAAAACTAATTGTCAGTTTTAATGTTCTTTTTGGACATGTTTAGAATTAATGTTCATTTTAAACTTGTTCAAAAATTAATGTTCCTTTTTGGATATTTCCAAAACTAATGTTTATTTTGGACATGTTTGTTGTTAATGTTCCTTTTGGACAAGTTCCCTATTAATGTTCACTTTGGACATGTTCGTTATTAAAATTCCTTCTGGACATGTTCAAAATTAACGTTACTTTTGATTTTCTTTTTATTTTAATATTTTCTATTTAATGTTCCTTTTGGACATGTTCAAAATTAACATTTCTATTGAAACATGTTCACTATTATTTTTTTTTGAAAAAAAAATTAAACATTCACTTCAAATTCGATTGAAAATATCGAACATGTCCTCTTGAAATACGCGCACATACACAAATGGTTTTTTATTCAAACTGATTTTGAAAAATTAAAATTTCACACTATTCACTTGATCGAGTTGTTTTGTAAAATATTTCTCATCCCTAATAAAATGTCATATATAGAAAATAAAATAAAGAGAGAGAGAGAGAGAGACAATAATTTGCCCTTGGTTCAATTAACAGTATTCAAAGAAGGAAATTGAAGCAGCACGTGTGGAGAATTTCAAAGACGCGGCTCAATTATAACAAACTAGAAGGGAAAATAACTTTTTGTATGTAATGTTATAAGGTTTAATGTCCCTTGAGCCAACACTTGAATTATATTCACCGGAATCAAACATCAACTTCAGAGAGAGAGAGTGAGTTCTTTAATTCACCAGCTCTTTTATTAAATTGTTTTTTTTTTTTTATTTTATCATCAATTTTGTAATTATTTTTGTATTATATTTATAATGGACTTTTCAATTTTTTTTAAAAATATTATTTATTTGGTTTATAATGAATTTTTCAATTTTTTTTAAATATTTATTTTTTTCCGAGGGGTATTTATTATTATTATTATTATTATTATTCTTATTATTAGGGGATTGATAAAATTATTTTTTTTATCCTTCGTTACTTAAGATAAGCTATTGTCTTCTTAAAATTTTGTGTGAAGTAAGACAATATTTAAAAAAAAAAAAATAAACTAGTGTTCATATTTTTGGCTATTAATAATCATACACAAACACTGACACACAGAGAGAGATCTATTTTGCTCGCAACTGAGCAATTTTTTGTTACAAGTGATTTTTTTTTCAAAACTCAATGAAATAGTTTTCTCTTTCATCACTAAAATCATCACATCGTTTTTTTTTCTTCTCTTCTGTTTCAGTTTCTTGTTCCGTAACTTGTTAGATTTCTTAATGTCTTTTTTATTATTATTATTATTATTATTATTCTTGCTTGTTATCCTCCCTTTTTTTCGTATGACTTTTGTTTTTCGTTTCTTATATATCAAATCCTTTCATTTATTCCTTTAATTTTTTTTTTCACTTTTTCCTTATTTCTTATTCTCGGCCTCGTTATTTTTTTCCAAATTCCTTGCTTCCTGTTCTTTACTTCATCTTCTTTTTGTTATATATTTCCTTTCTTCTTACTTGTTTATTTTATTATCTCTTGGTTTTTACATTATCATTTTTTTTTTTTTGGTATTTCTCGATTTTTATTTCTTAATTTTGTTCTTTGAATTTTTTTCTCAATCTTTTCTTAGTTTTCTTATTTCCTCAATTTTTTTTTTTTTATAATTTTTTCCTGAATTTTTAAATTATTTCTTAAATTTTTCTTGATTCTTTTTTTCTAACTTCTTTTTTTGATTTCAAACATTTTCTTGATTCTTTTATCATTTTTTTTGTATTTTTTTCCTTTTTTGATAAATTTTGTGGTAAAAACTCGGGTTTTCAAAAATTTTTGTTAAATTCAACTTTATTTAATTTTTCTTAATTTCCATCACTATTTTGTTTTTTTTTTTTTTTTTGAAATCGAATATTTTATTCGCGAATTGAATGAATTGATTTTCGCGAGAAGGACATGAGATCAATGCGACATCCTCGGCAATGAGAGTGTTTGCATTGATGCGAAACAAGTAGACTGAAGAAGAGAAGAGCGACGACGAGCAAATGCCCGTGGGGAAGGATCTGCCACGGTCTCTCGGCACGATTCACTGGAACCGATACAAGGCGCGAATTCGAAAGAAACTCCGGCACACGTGAAATTCAGCATCCCACACACCGAATATTGGTCCAGCATCTCCCACCGCTCAAATTTTTTTCCACTTCTCCTGCGACGCGTGCCGCCTTATAACACCCGCGCTCTTTTCTAAATCCTGAAATCAGAGAAAAAGAGAAAGGAAATTGAGCTTAGGTTTGAAAAAAATATATATATATGTATATGTATATTTTTGTGTGTATATATAGATATATATAATATCGAGCAAGACCACTGTATATATATATATATATATGTAGACGAGGATAAGTTCAAGGAAAAGAAGTCCTATCCTTCCTCAAACTAGTTTACTGGCGCCATATAGGGATTGGTTTTTGCCTTTTTCCAATATTCCTGCTTCTTTATATTTGTTTAACTAACTACCGCGTGTGTATGTATTCAGGGAAAATAAACATTCAACACCTATATGTTCCCTTTGCTTTTCTTACCGAAATTTAGAAGAAAAAAAAATTGACAATTTTTTTTTCTCAGTTTGTATGAAAATTTAATAAAGAAGATAATAAAATTTTCCTTTTTTTTCATGAAATTTGGTTTTAGAGGAAAAATTATTTAAAACGTACTCATATTTAAATAATTTTTTTTTTTACTAAAACTACTGATTAGTGGATTTAAAATAATGATTCTATGATCTATTTTGCGCTAAAACTATTTTTTTTTAAATTTTTTAGAAAATGAATTTGAAATTCGCGCCAATTTTCGCGTTCATATTTTATTGGTTAAGTCTATATGCGCAGGCGCGACTTGAGTGGATTCTACAGTGGTTGCCATAGCAACGTACAAGAGTAAGAGAGAAACATACACTGAAAGAAAAATTTATTTGATTTAAATAATCGATTACTTGACTTATTAAATCAATATTTATTTCTATCAAATAATTATTATTTGAGATGGTATTATTGTTTCAAAATACAGAAATTATTGATTTGAAAACAATTTATTTAATTTAAAGAAAAATTATTTGTTTCAAGTAAATATTTATTTGATAATAGTCAAGTCAAGCAATATTGCTGTAATTTTAGGTACTGTGGGTATACCAATTTTTTTTTACTAGATAAAATTTTAATAAACAAGATTTTAATTTTTCCTTTTTTATTAATTTATTTAGAGGAAAAATTATTTTAAAAAAGTACTCAATTTTAATAATTTTTTTTTTTTACTAAATCTACTGATTAATCGATTTAAAATAAGGTTTGTGTTATCTATTTTGCGTTAAAATTGTTTTTTTAATTTTTTAAAAATAAAAGTTTGAAATTTGCGCCAATTCTTGGGCTCATTTTTTATTGGTTAAGTCTTTCTCCGCAGGCGCGACCTGTGCGCGTTCTATAGTGGTTGCCATGGTAACGTATAAGAATGAGAGAGACAAACATAGTTCATGTCTCTCTCTCTCTTTCTTTAATTGTGACCTTCTAAAACAACGAGAACGCAATATTTAATTAATTAGAAAATAAAATTTTTCATTACGAATGTATTTTCCATTAAATAATTAATGTAATTTAAATTTTATTTGTTGTTGAAAATTCCTGAATAATTGTATTAAAATCAATTCATAGTAAACTATACATATATATGGTTTAAAATAAAACATAATGTATAGTTATTTAATTAGACGATAATTAAATTAATAATTAATTAAAATTAATTTAATAATAATAATAAAAAAAATATTAATAGAAAATTATGAAAATTAATAAAAATAAATAATATAATTAATAAAGTACAATAAAAAAAAAATAATAATAACACTGAGCTAAAAAAAATATGCAATATTTCAGTTAGTTGAGGATTATAAAAAAATCTTATTTTTTAAATGTTAAATAACGAAAATAAAAACATTCTTTTTTTTATATGTTAAAAATAAAAAATACATTTTCCTTTTTTTTTGAACAAAAGAAATTTAAATATTTTTTGTTCAAGGTTTTTTTTTGAAACAATTTTTAGTTGAAAAAATATCACAGTGATGAGTGCGTTTAATTCAATTAGGATATTTTAATATAAAATTGAAATTGCACTCTTCATTTGGATATTCGCGAGAGAAAAAAAACAGTTTGTTTATTTTCAATATGGGATTTATTTGGATCCATCATATTCTATATTTAATTAAAATAAGAATTTTTAATTTGAGATAGAAAATTTGCTGAAAGCTTTCATTGTTGTTTGTTTAACCCATTTTTTATACAAACTGCAGAAAATCTATTTCTCATGTTCAAGTTGATATAACATTAAATTTCCAAAAGTCTCACAATTATAATTTTATTATTATTATAATTATTATAAATTTAAAAAAATTATGATTGCTTTTTATAATTTTTATTAATTCAATGAATTACTCTCTAAATTTTAATTAGGATTTGTTTACTAATTCAAATTAGTAGGAATTTGTCATTAATATTTAGTTAAATTTTATTATTTGATTTAGTAATATATTTTTTTTTTTTATTAAATTTTTAGTGAAAAAAGAATTAAAATTTAGTAGAAATTTTTACTAATATAATTTAGTGAACGAATTATAACTAATTGTTTAAAGAGTAGATATATAGTTTTTATTGATTTAAATATATAATTAGATAATAACACAGGCACACAAAAAAAAGTCAGGCCCCAAAAAACACAACCCCATATTTCTATGTTTTTGGGGTCGCTGAAACAAGTCCTTTCCTCCCTTAACCCCCTACAACCCCCTGAGAAGAGGTTGGAATTTCAATTTTTACAAAAAGTCGAGTACGGTATCTATTCCTATGTTTTTTTTGATTGCTGAAATCAAAAAACACCACCAAAAACAAATTCTTTACCCCCTTAACCCCCTACAACCCCTGGGAGGGGGTTGGAATTTCATTTTTCACGGCGCTAAGTGTAGAAAAAAAATAATCATAGGTAACTTTCTAGAAAAATTTATTTTTGGTGATGTTTTTTGGTTTCAGCGACCCAAAAAACATAGGATTAGACACCGTACTTGACTTTTCTTGAAAAATGAAATTCCAACCCCCTCCCAGGGGTTGTAGGGGATTAAGGGGGTAAAGAATTTGTTTTTGGTGGTGTTTTTTGATTTCAGCGACCAAAAAAACATAGGAATAGATACCGTACTCGACTTTTTGTAAAAATTGAAATTCCAACCCCTTCTGAGGGGGTTGTAGGGGGTTAAGGGAGGAAAGGACTTGTTTTTGGTGGCATTCTTCGGTTTTAGCGCCCCAAAAAACGTAGGATTAGACACCTAACTTGACTTTTTGTGAAATTTAAAATTTTTACCCCCTCCCAGAGGGTTGTAGGGGGGTTAAGGGAAGGAAGGATTTATTTTTAGTGGTGTTTTTCGGATTTAGCGACCCAAAAAACATTGGAATAGACACCCTACTCGATTTTTTTTTTATTTTGAAACTCCAACCCTCGTGAGTAGGTGCCAGGTGGTGGTTGCGGGAAAATGGGTCGGCAAAAAAATTTTTCATGGTCATATTCGGTTTCAGCGACCCCAAAAACATAGGAATATGGGGTTGTGTTTTTTTGGACCTGACTTTTTTTTTATTTTGTGCTTGTATAATTAAATGAATTATTTTCTAATAGCAATAAACTTAAAAAAAGAATTTGGTCTTTAAAATTTTTTAACTTATCTTCCTTGTTCATTTAAGTATGATGTTCAGAATATATTTTTGATAAAATGTCACACGTTAAAAACAAAAATAATCTTGAAATGATGAAAAATAATCTACATTTGACTTTAAAATTTTGTCAACTGGTCCTTGCCCTTCTGATATAATATCAACTATGCGTCTCTATATAATGAATTCAAATATACATATATAGAAACACACCTGATCAAATATTCTTATAATCGTAAAAAACAAGAATTTAATTATTATTTAAAAATATTAGAAACACTAAAAGAATTTAAATTTTATAATATAAAAACTGTTTATATATTACGTAATGTCCCGTTAGAAAAAAAAGTCGATTTCAAAAATATAAAATTTTGATATATAACAGAAAGACAAATAATAATTTGCACTAAAAAAAAAAAAATGCAATTTATATATATTTGATAAAAAATTAAATGAAGTCATAAAGACATTTTTTTTATCTATATACTATTATTATACAGGGATTAAAATTTGGAAATTTTAAAATTGAACAGGTCGGTATGATAAGTGTTATGCAATAACAATAATTCTTTCTATTTTATTTGCCTCACACTGCGCCTCTTTTGACCTTAGAATCTTGATTTTCTACACGACCTCTTCGCGTTTTATCGAATGATTTAAAAGAATCTTATTTCCAGAATTTTCAGCTCTACTTTAAATATAAAAATAGAAGAAGGGCCTCATACTTTATTCTATATATCGAAAAAAATTTTTTTTTTCAAAGTTTTATCTTATATTTTTGAAGACATATTAAAAATAATTTTTATATTCATTAAATTGTTTATATAATTTTTATATTTCAAATACTAAAAAAAAAATACAAAAAAAAAATACGAAAAAACAATAAAATAATATAAAAAATATAATAAAACAAAACAAAAAAAAAAAACAGAAAAATTAAAAAAAAAACGAAAAATGAATATGTAAAAAAGAGTATTCTCATTTTAAGAGGAAAAATTCCACTTTTGCGATAATCTCTTCATAGAAAAAAACCGTGAACTGAAATTAAGAATATAATCTAGGCTCACATTTAAGAATATTGTGTATTATACTTAAATTCAGTATATATATATATATATTATTCTTAAGATAAGACTATACCTATACTTCATTTATAAGTATAAAATATTTTAAAATATATATATTCTTAATTTAAGAATATATTATACTTAAATTGAGTAAATATTATTCCCAGATAGCACGTAAACTTGCAGCAACCTTGCGGCAAGCTTCAATTGTCCCACCTCACCCAACTTGCATCGTAAGCTTACCGTAAGATTGCAGTGTAATGTTACTGCAAGATTGCACAATAAAATTATCGCAAGGTTTCTCAGTAAGCTTGCACTGTAAGCTTGTAGCAAGGTTAGTGCAACGTTGACAAATAACCTTGCTTTAAACTTAATTTTTTTTTAATGTTTAGTCTAATTTATATAATAAAATTATATAATTTAGACGCAACATTAAAAAAAAAAATTTTAGGTTCAAAGCAAGGTTATTTGACAACCTTGCACCAACCTTGCTACAAGCTTACCGTGCAAGCTTACTGAGCAATCTTGCTATAATCTTATTGTGCAATCTTGCAGTAACATTACACTGCCATCTTTCGGTAAGCTTACCATGCAAGCTTTCGGTCAGGTGGTACATTTGAAGCTTGCGGAAAGTTTGACGTGCAAGGTCAATGTGCAAATCAACTTCATTTTTAAAAAAACAGTAATTATTTTATAAAATGGATATTATATTTTATTAATAAAATTCGCAAAAGTGAATAGTTTTTATCTATAAAAAAAATAGAAAAGATTAGACAATTTTTTTAATTACGCATATGTTTTGAAAATGAAACTGAGATTTTGTTCAAGCAGTGTATTATAATGATTGCAAAAAAAAGGGGGCGTAATGTTTATGATAAAAGGTAATAAAATTAGTTGTTAAAAGAATCATGTGTTTCATATAATTACTTCCAGAGCGCGGTCAACTGTTGACAATAATGCTCTCGTTAAGAAAAAAAAGGAGGACACTCAATACTGTATTACGTTCCCATAATAAAATTCAGTCATCTGTAACTATAAATTTTCCTATGATTCAATTTTAATGTTTTTTTTTTTTTTTTTTTTTTTTTTTGTTTGAATTTATAATTATTGAAAACATTCTACGTCTTGATAAAAATTTTAAATAATTATTAAATTTTTGTTTTTTAAGTGATCAGTAAAAATTCAATGAAGATTGTATATATGACTGATTTCTTCTAATTTTAAGAATATATTTTAAATTTCATGGATACATTCTAATTGCTAAGAATATAAATATTCTGAATTTTTTTCGTTGTACCACTAAAAATTTAGAATATATAATATTAAGAGGTTTCTCTTTGCATAGACTTTTAAGATATCCTTTCAATACAAGAGTATTTCCATTTGAAATAGATTTTATTTTTTATTTTAAAAGAAAAAATGTCGAAAAAATTAGTCAAATATTTTCCTCTTCAATTTAGTGTTTTCTTTTTGTTTCAAAAGGATTTCAACTGATCAGAAAATTTTCAAAAGGTTTTATATATATATATATTTTTTTAAGAGTAGGATCCTCTCAAATACAAAGGAGATCCATTTAATAACGCATACATAAAAGGAAATTATATAAATAACGTAAAAAATTCTCTTAAGCGGAAATTTTTTTTTTTAACATTTTAATTATTTTACTCAAATTATTAATAATATCAAGAAGAAATATTAAAAAGAAAATAATAAATAAAAATAATATTATTAAAAAAAATAACCAATTTTTATTACTAGATAAAATTTAAAATTTTTAATAAACAAGATTTTAATTTTTCCTTCTTTATTAATTTATTTAGAGGAAAAATTATATTTAAAAAGTACTCAATTTTAATAATTTTTTTTTTTACTAAATCTACTGATTAATCGATTTAAAATAAGGTTTGTGTTATCTATTTTGCGTTAAAATTGTTTTTTTAATTTTTTAAAAATAAAAGTTTGAAATTTGCGCCAATTCTTGCGCTCATTTTTTATTGGTTAAGTCTTTCTCCGCAGGCGCGACCTGTGTGCGTTTTATAGTGGTTGCCATGGTAACGTATATGAATAAGAGAGACAAACATAGTTCCTGTCTCTCTCTTTCTCTAATTGTGACCTTCTAAAACAACGAGAACGCAATATTTAATTAATTAGAAAATAAAATTTTTCATTACGAATGTATTTTCAATTAAATAATTAATGTAATTTAAATTTTATTTTTTGTTGAAAATTCCTGAATAATTGTATTAAAATCAATTCATAGTAAACTATACATTTATATGGTTGAAAATAAAACATAATGTATAGTTATTTAATTAAACGATAATTAAATTAATAATTAATTAAAATTAATTTAATAATAATAATAATAAAAAAAAATATTAATAGAAAATTATGAAAATTAATAAAAATAAATAATATAATTAATAAAGTACATTAAAAAAAAATAATAATAACACTGCTAAAAAAAATATACAATATTTCAGTTAGTTGAGGATTATAAAAAAATTTTATTTTTTAAATGTTAAATAACGAAAATAAAAAAATCCCTTTTTTTATATGTTAAAAATAAAAAATACATTTTTTTTAAAATTTTGTTCAAGGTTTTTTTTGAAACAATTTTTAGTTGAAAAAATATCACAGTGAGTGCGTTTAATTCAATTAGGATATTTTAATATCAAATAATAGATAAAAAAAATAATATAAATATAATATAATAATATAATATTTATAATATAAAAATAATATTATTAAAAAAAAAAAATTTAACTAGGTATATTATAAGTTTGTGAAAAAATGCTATAGAATTTTTAGAATTTTCTAAGATGGGTAAAGGTTAAAGATATTTATTTTAAAAAAATAATGTCGGACTTGCAATGTTTCTATGTTGGGATATAAATCTAAACCTTTATTAATTTTCGTAACATGTGCTTTTTGATTTATACGATAACGAAACAAAGCAAATGTCTAACGCACGTGTTTCTTTAATTTAATCCTTTTTTTTGTTGTTTTGTTACAGATTCAATGAATTAGTGCAAAAAAAGAATCTTGAAATTCGTCTGTGTTATCTCTATATGGTGAGTAAAAAATTACTATATATTTTGAAAGAGCAAATTTTTATATATGAAAACAATTTTAGAAAAATGTTATTTTTGTTCAAAAATATTGTAAAATATACGTGTATATAAGTATAGTCTAAATTTTTATTTTCAATATCTAATTATAGATTCTAATTTTATTCAAAACTTCAATTGACAATTTGCAATAAGATGATATATATATATGTATATTACGAGATATATTTAAAGTCAATAAAATATAGTTTATACTATAACGAAGTTATGTCATTAAAGAAACATATATATATATTACAGGAATAAATTTTATTTTTGAACAAAAATATACAAAATGTTTTGATCCAAAGAAATATATATTTTGATACTGTACCAGGAAATGATATTCTAAGTTTCAGAATAAAATCTTGGCTACTGGTTAAAAATATATTCACAGAAAATAAAAAATATTCTAAAATAAAAAATTAAAAATATGTATACTTGGGACCTATGTTAGAAAATTTCATACTTAAATTCAATTTGTAATATTCTTAAAATTAGAATATATTCTTGGTACTCAATATTTATTCTATAAATGCTCAAAATATTATATATACTAAATATTAAGAATATATATTCTAAATTTAAGATTATTACACACTGAATTTAAGTTTAATTATATTCTTAAAATAAGTTTACTATTTTTAAAATAAGATTAATATTCCTAAAATAAAAATTGTTACTTCTGCAAAGTACATTATACTCTAATTCAAAGAATAAAATACTTGTAATGTACATTCTTTAATAAAAGCCAAGAGGATATTCTTAAATTGAGAATATCATTATTTCAGCGTGAAAAATATTTGAAAAGCGAAATTTTTATCCGAAATAACTATAAATAAAAAGGAATAATTTCATATTAAGAAGAAAATACTTCATCGAAAAAACAATATTCTAAAATTTAGAATATATACTTGGGACCTATTTTAAAACATTTTATACTTAAATTCAGTATGTACCTAGATAGCACGTACACAGAAAAAACCGTAAACTGAAATATTTTATACTTAAATTCAGTACCTACATATTCTTATTTTAAGAATAATATATACTGAATTTAAGTATAAAATATTCTTAAATTAATAATAATATATTTATCAATATTTTATACTTAAATTAAGTATATATTCTTATTTTAAGAATAATATATACTAAGTTTAAGTATAAAATATTCTTAAATATGCGCCACGAATATATTCTTAATTTCAGTTTACGGTTTTTTCTGTGTAAGCTTACAGCAAGCTTTAAATGTCCCACCTGACCCAAGCTTGCATGGTAAGCTTACCAAAAGATTGTAGTGTAAGGTTATTGCAAAATTGTACAATAAGATTATCGCAAGATTCCTCAGTAAGCTTGCACGGTAAGCTTGTAGCAAGGTTGGTGCAACGTTGACAAATAATCTTGCTTTAAACCTAAAAAAAATTTGTTTAAAAAAGGTTTGGTTTAATTAATATAATAAAATTATAAAAATTGTACGAAATTAAAAAAAAAAATTTAGGTTCAAAGTAAGGTTATTTGGCTTACTGAGCAATCTTGCGAGAATCTTTTTGTGCAATCTTGCAGTAACCTTACACTGCAATCTTTTTGTAAGCTTACCATGCAAGCTTGGGTCAAGTGGGACATTTGTAGCTTGCAGCCAGTTTGCCGTGCAAGGTTGGCAATATTGCGTGGCAAGCTTGCCGCAAGGCTGCTGCTATCTTACGTCCTATCTGAGTTACTTAGTATATATTTTAAATGCTAAGAATTTATATTAAATACTAAGAATATATATACTATGTTCCAAGAATATATTCTAAGTTTAAGAATATTACATACTGAATTTCAGTATAAAATATTCTAAAATAGGTCCGAAATATATATATATATATATATATATATATAGTCTAAACAGAATATTTTTTTCTCACTGTTTCTGTGATAGACACTCACATTATTTTTTACAAAAAAAAGTAATAATATACTTAAATCTTTCAAAGAAAAATTTTTTCTTTCTTTAAAAAAAAGTATGACAAAAGAAGTATTTTATAATAATTCGTTTATATTAATTATTATCGGCAAAAATGTTTCTCTCGATGAAATGAAAAACCTTTCTTTATATTTGGAAAGTGTCAATCACTGAGACAGGTTGACATTGATGCATATATATATGTATATATATATATATATCCGTGCTCATAAGAAAATTGTCGACCTTTATTCGGCTTCGTCATTTGGACGTCATGCTGAAAATCACCACGTCAACGTACAAGCAAATATGGCTAAACTTTAAAATTCATTAAGAAATTTCAGCTTGTAATTACATAAAATGAATTCTTATACATATATATATATGTAGTAAGGGTTATAAAATCTCAAGTTTAAAACATTTTTTATACGAAAACTTCACTTTTTTGTTTTATTACAAAATAAACATACAACCCGCACATAAGAAAAAAAATGAAAAAAAATCTACATTTTAATATAACAGGGACATAATTTTTTTAATACACCTCCTCTTTTTTTTTTATATATGTACCTATACACTATTTTAAAATATTTATAAATATTTTATACTATTTTACAAACAAAAAAAAAAGAAAATTTAATTTGCCTTTGTTTATTGTCTGCATGCATGATTATAAATTTTTCTATAAGAATGAATGAAAAAAAAAACATTTTATTTTAAGAGGAAAATCTTTTAATATAGCATTTTGCATGACATTTTTTAAATGTTTGCAAATATTAAAATTATTAAAATTTTATCTAAATTTTGAGGTTATGTTCGTTTCTTAGTAAGGGGAATTTGAGGTTATGTTTGTCGGACATAGACATTTTAAGGTTATATTTGAACTAAGGCCTTAAATGCTGGACATCTATGCCCTATAATTTTGAGGTTATGTTTGATCTCTGGCCTTGAATCCTGGAACCCTATGTCTATGAATTTTAAGGTTAAGTTTGATCTATGACCTTGAATCTTGGAGACCTAACCTAACCTAATCTAACCTAACCTAACCTAACCTAACCTAACCTTGTCAAAAATATGGGTTTGGTACACTTGACATGGAATGACCCATACTGGAGACAGCGTTGAAATCTTTCTATAATATAGAGAGGATAGAATTATAACTCCTCTCATATTGAGAGGAAATGTTTTTAGTACCTTTTCTACACACACTGAAAACAATTTATTTATATGTGGCATCTATTTTAGAATATTTAAATGCAATTTATTCTTTTTTTTTAAGAATATTGTACTTATTTAATATTCTTAAAATAAGAATATATTCTGTAATTTAAAAATTCATTTTTAAAAACACTTCAATATTTTCAGACTTTTCTATACGCATTAACAGTTAAAATTACAACAAACATTAAATAAATTTATTATGAATTTATTTTTTCTTGAACAAAAAATGAATTTTAATTTCACCTTTAATTAATTAACAAGATGAAAAATTTATTTATTTTTTATAAAACAATTTTATATTTTTTGGTATGTCTATGATTAAAAATAGTTTTCAATATATATATAGGTAGTTTTAAGGTAGTATATTAAATAATTGAGCTATTCAAAATTTATGAAAATCCTTTTAGCATAATTAATTCCCAAAATCAAGAGGAATTTATGTCGCGCTCTATATATAGAGAAAATTTAATGAAGGGAATTTAGATGGAACACGTGAAAAGTTTTGTTCACAGTTATATATGGAAATTAGGTACAGCATCACTGTATATAATATAATATGACATATATTTTGATAACATTCTCGCCCTTTTTATTCCAGAATCATAAAAAAAAACCCCAAAAAAATATATAAAGAGAAAGGAGAGACACTTGATGCGGAAGATTGTAGAAAAAAAAAACGAAAAAAAATCTTAAATTTCAGCAATTTTTATGATACTTAAAAATCATGCAAATTTTCAATGAATATAGATATATATAATAAAGACCTTTAAGAAGATTAACGAGCGTTATTCCGAAAAAATGTATTTTTACGATCCTTAAATTATATATGCACTTTGATATATAGAAATTTGTGATTCTGACGTATATATATATATATATATATATATATATATCCCCTCAAGCGATTCTCTTTTTCTTGATGTAACATGAAATGATACACCTGTTGCATACAAAGTATACATCCACCTGTTACTTAACATACATCAAAATTGTTTATCGATATATATATATTTTTTTTTTTGCTACTTCTTCATTGATTATTATACAATAAAGATTTTTTATTTCACCGCAATAGTTTCGATTTAATTAATTTTAACTCACCGAACGATTATGAAATAAACAATTTTTAGTGATAGTTGCGAAGTAGTTTTATCCGAAACGTTATTAAAAAGCACAAAAGATTTTTTTTTAATGGAAGATACAATAGAAAATTTTTTTCTTTTTTTTTTGACCAAGTTATATTGAATAGAGTTGATAATAAGTTATTTTTTGCTATAGACGCGCACCGAACACTGAACAAGTCAAAAACTGTTTGACTGTGGAATGAATATTTGGATTTAGACTCGAATACGAACGCCGTGTGTCAATGGAAAAGCGCGAAGGGGAGGCGCGGGGGTTGGAAGTTTACGCGCCAGCGCCGCCGAGTGTATACACATTAAATGTTGTTTCTCTCACTATATAGACGATAGATGTGTGTGAAATACATTTCCTTTTTCTCCAAGGGGAAAAAAAAGTTTATTTCAGGACATTTCATTAAGTTGAACCATTAACAAAAGACTTCATAAAACTTTAGTATTATATATAATACAAATATAGAAAGTAAAAGGGATGAGGTAATGTTAAGTAGTAAGGTGAAAAACTTTTTTTCTTTCTTTGCTGAATTCGAATTTGATTTCAAATTTAAACATTGAAACATATTCCTATACTCTGATGGGTTTTGGGATCAAAATTTTTCAAAAATCTTCTGCCATATTCCCACACAGCACAATATTTTGTTTCCACTGAGTTTAAACCTAAGATTCGTTAGCTTACAGCGTAAACTTCAGGTGAGGTTAAGGTGAGTTGCAAATGTCCTCTCTACCGTAACCAGCAGTGTAAGATTGTAGTCAGTTTACTATAACCTTACTGTAAGCTTTCCGTAAACTTACTGTACACTGAAAAAAAACTAGTAGGTTTTGTAACTTTGTAACTACTCTAAGTAGTACAATATGTCCTCAACTGAATTTAAACGGTTTTATTAACTATATAAAAATAGTTAAACCAATGAAAAATGTAATTGGTAGAATGACATTTTGTGATTGTATTAACTCAATTTAAAAATGTTAAAACAACTCAAGATGTAAGTAGTAGATTTTACTACTTAATGTGGTTCAATAGGCTTTAAGAACATTTTTTTGTAGAATTAATAAATCTTTTGCAATTAAAACTACTACTTTAAGTATAGTAGATTTTACTACTTAAAATAGGAAAATAAAATTATTTTTTATTTATAATTGTTTATTATCAGTAGAATTGACTTTTTCATCCTCTCTCCTATGGGAGCGTTCATAAACTACGTAGACCTATTTTTGTGACTTTTTGACACCCCCCTCCCCCCACGTAGACTAACGTAGACTTTTGATGACCCCCCCCCCCTCCCCCCACGTAGACTAACGTAGACTTTTGATGAACCCCCCCCTCCCCCCGTGTTTCACGTAGTTTTTTTTTAATATGCATTTTTACTACATATTTAATTATATTCGCATTTTATACAAACAAGTCAATTAAAAACAGTAAAATAATCTGAATAAAATATTTTATTCTTTACATATAGAAATGTTTAAAATCAACAAATACAAACAATCTTTTAATACGAAGATAACATTTTTTTTAAATTTTCTTAAAATTTTTTTTTTAGAGATCTTCGGTAAACGGTGAAATTAACCAGTCGTGTATGTCCCTCTGTCTTTTTTATTAGAAGTTCGAACTCCCGCGCAATTTTAAAAAAGCAAAGAAATTAATTTTAGTATATATTACGTAGTTAGAGTCGACACCCCCCCCTCCACCCACGTAGACTAAGGTAGAATTTCGTTTAACCCCCCCCCCTTCCCCTAAACATGCTACGTAGTTTATGAACGCCCCCTATACTGACGCTTATTTTATGTCCTAACGATTATGTACCTAACAGAGAAAATTTCTAACTGACGGGAATTGAACCCTCGACCCTAACGCTCGCAATCCGATACCTTAACCGACTAACCACGCACGCTCGCTATACGACAGTCTGCAAACTACTCGAAGACTACTTTCTGCTAGTCCAATTGGTAATTTAACTATTTAAAGTAGTCATTTTTACTACTTTTATTAGTTGCTATAACTATCCTTTTTAAGTTTTGACTTGTAAATTTTTCATCTTTTGACCGAATTCATTTCAAATCAGACAGGCTTGACTTGGTTGGAGCTGAAAATAATTTTCACCTTCAAAATGTTGTTCTTCAATGAATTTTAGACGACACGTATTTTTTTATTTTGCTGAAAAAAATTTTTTCTTTAAGTTATAAGGAGTTCAAATATATAAGTCGAGAACTTCGTTTTGTTTAAAATGAAGAGAAAAAATCTTAAAAGTGATGTAACTTTTTAAGTAATTAAGATAATTCACTTTTTTCTTTTTTATCTGAAAGGATTTTTATTCTTTTTTCGAAATCCATTGGAAAATTTAAAAAATATTTAAAAATAACAAAATGGAGGCCAATTTACTAAAAAACTTTCAACTTTCAACCATGGTCGTAGATGTACACAAACATTCTGCGCAGACGCGAATATACTCTCCTCGTTTAATACACCTGGTCTTTTGAAAAAAATGGCCTTAAAAACGACCATAAATGCGGCCGTAAAAATGGGCGCAAATGAGACCGTAAATGTGGGCACAAATGCTGTTTTAAATTTGCTACCATTTATATAGTCATATTTATGGTCACATTTGCGCCCATTTTACGGCCGCATTTATTGTCGTTTTTAAGGCCATTTTTTTCAGAGCATCAAATTTAATGCTCTCGGTGTAGCCAGGGTCAATATTCATAATTGTTTTCAAAAAACTCGAACACTTCTTTTCATACATTAAAAAATTATTTAAAATTGTAATTTTAATTACTTTTAAGGAAGTAAACAAAAAAGAAATATTGTATGACATTACACGACGCATAATATCTTGGTGTTGTTTATCGTAATAGTATAGCAGACGAATTTCATAGGGAAAATCGGTGGATTCTAAATTTCCCAGAAGGAAATCTTATTTAAAATGATTTAATATAAAAAATTGTTTAAAAAACAATAATAAAAATTTTAAGTGATAAATTTATTGTTTTTATATTTAGTTATGTTTTTCAATGAAAATTAATAATTTTATAATCAATTATTTTTGAGAATAATTTTCACTAGGAATCATTTTGATGAACTAGTAAAAGAGTTTTTTTTTTCTATAAAAATCAACTTTTAAATTAAAGTAAGTTAATGAATTAGCACGGGAATTTTATTTTATTAAAAATTATAATTAACAATATTATATAAAAGTAAATAACCATATATACGTTGTTCTGTTAAGACTTTGAAAATTTTTCGCATTCAATAATAAACTTTTATTTTGGGTGATGACGCTCAACAAAATTATCTTTTCCATGACTTTGTATGTATAAACATACGCTTTTGTTATGATAAAATTATCTATATTTTGTTATTATAGAATATAATCAAATATAAAAACAATTAATTTAACTCTTTAAATTTTTTGTTACTGTTTTCTAAACATTTTTCCAATTTAATGTATTTTAAATAAGAGCGCCTTTTTCTACTAAAGTTATATTGGCGCAAGCGCAGTTGCGTTTGGTTAGGAAGTCGTTGGCATCATTGCTCCTAGTGTTCACTATCGGTAATAGTAATCATCGTATAGTGTCATGGCTTCTGCTTCATTATTCTTCGAATATTTTTCTAACAAGTTTTGTGTGTAAATTAAATAATTCATTAATGTGTTGAAATTATTAAGATCATTTTATTTTTGGTGACGACGTTCAACAATATTATTATCTTTTCCATGACTTTGTAAGTACAAACATACGCTTTTGTTATGATAATATTATCTATATATTTTGTTATTATAGAATATAGATTCTAATTTTTATAGAAAGTACAAATTTAAATAAATTTTTTTAGTGTACAGCTGATTAAAAATATTGACATAATACTTCTATTTCTTTTTAATATTAACTTCATGTCGTATATTATGAACTTTTAACTTCAAAAATTTATTTTTGATTAAACTAACTTGACACTTCATATAACTATATGTTTATTTTATATTTTCAAATTCTTTTACATAAACAAACGGATTATAAAATATTCTTTTTAATCAATTTAGAATAGTTATTCGAGAATTGATTATCTTGTTGCCGCACATTCTCAAAATTTTCGATTCTTTTTTATCTGGCTGGAAATTTGTTTTTTTTCACGTAGCATTTTTTCACCCTATATTATGTTCGTTAATCCTATCATAAAATAAATTGCGCTCAGATCTCTAGAGTAATAAAGACCAAAATTTGTAAAACAATAATATTCTGTAAATAAATAATTATTAATTCAAAAAAAAAAATCCTGAAAAAATCTTAAATTATATTTTAAAACAGTTATTCTTAAAATTAAAAAGATTAAATAAAATGATTTTTATTAATATTATAAGTATTTTTAAAAAATAAATAAATTTTTTAAAAATATTTTTTTATTAGAATTAAAATTTTATTTCCTTGACAATACAATACTTGTTTCTTGTCGAGATACATAGCCATACATCACAATATTCAGATTTACATTTTCTCGTTTTTCTAAAATAATAAGTACCTACAAATTTCATTAAGGGTTTGTGGGAACCTCTCACGTGACCTAGTATGGGAAAATGTGTTTTGGTAGTATACATCTTACTCTAAAACGAGAAAAGATTTTTGTCTAAAATTTTGAGGGATGATAGATTTGGGTACAAGGAATCTCGCTGTTCTCCGAAAAATACATAATTTTGCATTAAATTATTAAAAAATAAAGTTTAAAAAGTGGCATTTTTAAACGAAAATGCAGACGTTGCCTAAGTGTGTCAGTTCTCCAGTGAACAGCGCCAATTCGAGCGAGTGGCCGCTGAATGAACTATGGTAAAACACATTATTTTACTATTTATTGCTTTATTTTTATTATTTTTGCATTAAGTTGTAGTAAATAAGTAGAACAGCGAGATTCCTTGTACCAAACTAAACCATTTCTCCAAAATTTTAACCCAAAATCATTTTTTATTTCAGAGAAAGTTTCAAATCACAAAAAAAACGTCCTTTGCCCACATACCCTTAAAAACTTTATAAATATCAATGTCCACTTTTTGGTTTAACTTCGTTACAATCCTTTTACTCCATTCTTCTTTCTCAATGCCATTTCTCCAGTTTTGCAATAGATCCCTTGTCTCGTTGCTCATTTCTTTCAAGATTTTTTCATAATTCACTACGTGTTCCATATAGTTTCTTGCCTATTTTCACATCCTCTA